GGACAGAGCCTACCTGATGGGCAGGGAAAGAATACCCCAGAAAACAGGACAAATCGGGTGGTATGAGCATACTTAGCTTGTAGTATGTGGAATGAAAGTCTTGGAGGAGCATAGTGGGCCTCTTCATTCTTTAAAATAAAAAGTAAGTTAATATTGCCTCCTAGAAGATATGTATACACAGTGTAATTCTCAGCTTTACTGAGAATTACTGAAAATTGATGATGTTTCTAAAAATTTATTTTTCTATTATACTTTTAAAATTTTTGTGCAATAAGTTTAGAACATATCTATTATCTTAGCCTCTACTCTTCCAGGTTCCATACTCCATTCCCTTACACACACACACACACACACACACACACACACACACACACACACACACGCACGTGCACGAGTGTGTGTGTGTGTGTGTGTGTGTGTGTCTGTGTGTCTGTGTGTCTGTGTGTGTGTGTTTATATGCATCTACCACACTGTATTCAGAAGTCACTGTTTCCTTGCAGTAATCTAGTACCTCTGGCTTTTACAGTCTTTCTGGCCCTTCTTCCAAAATGATCCCTGAGTCTTTGGATGGAGGGCTGTGGTACATGTTCCCTGTAGAACTGAATTTTTTTCAGTTTCTTGTTCTCTGCACTTGGCCAGGTGTAGATCTATGTGTTGATCACCATCAACTGTGAATAAAAGCTGCTCTGTTAAAGTTGTGTGGTGCCTTAGCCTATGGGTATAACAGTAAGTCACTGGGAGTCATTTTAATATTATGTCAGTTTTACATAATAAAATTTTTAGGTTGTCTCCAAGTACTCTGACCTGTCTAACCATAAGTCCTTTGCCTTATAACATAGTATAGATGTTCATATTTTATCTATCAATAAGTTCAAACTGTAACTCAGATTGTGAATTAAATACTAATGGACATACTTTTAAAAACAAACTCAAATGACACAGGAACAGCTGCATTTAAGTTTCTGTTTATGGCCCTTTATTGTATTTCTAGGTTCTGAGACCTCTCAATAATACCCAGAAACCCATTTTTATTTTATTTTTTCTCATTATGTTTTTCCATACTTAAAATACATATTTATTTTTCAACATTTTAACAAATAATGTGAATAGGAAACATTTTAATATTAAAATGTCTTTCAATATTTCATTAGACTTGTAAGAACATAAAATGTAAATGTCTTTAATTTAATACAGCAATAATGAACAATCAATTCACAAAAATTATGAGCACAAAAACTAATTTTTTACTCCTAATAATGCATTCTCTATTTAATAATGCAATCTCTTTCTATATGAGTAAATTCTAAAGTGCATGTCCATGTAAATATTGATTTCTTTAGTCTTTTTTTTTATTTTTTTTGAAAATTTCTTACATGGGTACTCTATGTCATTTCTATCCATCAAACTCTTCCCCTCCTCTCCATCTCAAATTCATGACCATTTCTTATGTCTTCATCAGTTATTTATCCTAATGAGTCTATTAAGTATCGTTCATACATAAATGTGTTAAAGCTGACCACTTGGGTTTAGATAACATAATAAAGGGTTTGTTTCTGGGTAAAATTGTTTTTTGCACTCCCAACAGATGATGTGACCTTGTAAAGTTTACCCTATTCACATTTATATGATATGTCATTGGTGTTGTTATTATTCGAGTTTGTTTTAAGCAACTCTCTTTCTAATATTACATGGGTGCAACATAACAGTTATGCTAAGAAGACAAAATCTAGCATCATGAGTCCTGGTCCTCTGATTCTTATAACCTTTATGTGTTCTCTTTTTTATATTGTTCCTAGATATGTTTTTAGCTTAGATTGTGTGCTTATGCTTATGTGTACATATTCTCTCCTCTCTCTCTCTCTCTCTCTCTCTCTCTCTCTCTCTCTCTCTCTCCCTCTCTCTCTCTCTCTCTCTGCAGGTGTGTATGTATGCACTTGATAAAGTTGGGGGCGTCACTACCAGTGCATGAAGGTCAAGAAAAGGGAGTTGAACTCTGCCGAAATAGCTCAGTTGGGAGAGCGTTAGACTGAAGAAAAGGGAGTTGAGTATCTTTATCTACTTTACTCTGTCTTATTTCCTTGGACAAGGTCAGGAAATGAACCTGGAACTTTCTGGGTTTCTGATAGATTTGCCTTTCAACGTTCAACTGCATCCTATGTGTTTCAGCAATACTAGCAATGGGTTAAAAGTGCAGTGCCATACTTGGCTCTAGACATCACAATGGGGATACAAATAAAGTTCTATGGTTACACAGTACAGGTTTTGTTTCTCCAACAGAATCATCTCTTCAATTAATTTATTTACTGTTTTAGTATGCATCAGGAACCACTATAAAACTCCTCCACATTTTTCTGATAGCATTTTTCATTTCCTTATTCCTGAATGTATAAACCATAGGATTGAGCAGTGGTGTCAAGACATCAGCAAATATAAATACATTTTTCTCCAAAGAGAATGGGGATGTAGGTCGTGCATATATTAATATGCATGGAACAAAGAACAAAACCACAACAGTAATATGGGATCCACAGGTGGAGAGAGCTTTACGTCGCCCTTCAGAACTGTGGGCTCTCAGAGAGAACAAGATGACACCATAGGATACAAGCAAAAAGGAGAAGATAATGATGCAGATAGACCCACTGTTGGCAAACACCAAAATGATGAAAATGCGTGTGTCCGTGCAGGCAAGCTTCAGCAATGGGAACAAGTCACATATGAAATGATCAATAAAATTGGGTCCACAGAAGGGCAATTGCAAAGTGAATATAATTTGTATAATAGAATGTAAGAAGCCCCCTGCCCAGGCAACCTCTACCAGAGTGCCACAGACCCTCCTGCTCATAATGGAAGAGTAGTGCAAGGGCTTGCAAATGGCCACATAGCGGTCATAGGCCATGGCTGCCAGGATGATCACCTCCACCGCACTGAAGAAGTGGACAGCAAATACTTGTGTCATGCAGCATTCAAAGGAGATCGTCTTTCTCTTATAGAATAAATCTACAATCATCTTGGGTGTGACAATAGAAGACACACATGCATCCAATAAGGACAGGAATGCCAAGAAGAAGTACATGGGGGAACCCAGCAGTGCAGGGCTCCATACAATGGTCACCACAATCGTCATGTTGCCCCCAATAGTTGTAAGATAGAGCAACAAAAATACAACAAATAGTATTTTCTCAACTTTTGGATTCTGTGAAAGTCCCAGGAGTATGAACTCAGTGACAAAGCTCTGGTTTTGCATGATTTTCAAGAGGAAGATAAAGTAAAGTCTGTTCACATCAACCTGAAATAATGAAAATAGATTGTTTCATTTAATTTGCAATATCCGCATCAACAAATTGGTCCATTCTTTTGCAGAAATATCTTCACTAGGTTTTATTACCCTTTAAAACAGAATATTAAGATATTTTGTAGTGCATTGTTGAATATCTGGTAAAATGGAAAGAAAAACAAACTATTGGATACTTTAGATATATTTTAAATATTGTAGCAGAAACTATGTGTGTTAGAAAATGGTAGAGAATAGTTTATCTTTGAAGGTTCAAATTTAATAATTCTCAAAGGACTTTTTGAAATGGAGTATTGGACAATATTTGAAATCACATACCTATATGCAATATTTTATAATTTATTAATTGTGTTGCTATCTGTATTGAATGAGGCAGTGCCATAGAACCTACAGAAAATAAATGGATCAGAATTTTATCTACCAACAGAAGAAGAAATGAAGGCACCTTGGAACACTCCAGAAAATCCTAACTACATTTTAAACTGTGTTTCAAACTATGAGGTAGGAATAAAAATTCAAACGAACTATTCTAATCTTCATTTTTAAAAAAGGTATGTGGGCCAGTGTTTAGTATTACACATGATACAACTATTAAAGAGTTAAAATTTTCCTTACTTCTTGTCAGATAATTATTCATTATCTTCAAAATAATTATATTGTCATGACAACTAAATGAAACTAATGCAAAAATTAGTAACTGCTCAAGACATAGGCCTTAGTCAAAAATATGTGGCATGGGTTATTGTTGCTATTTTTATGAAAAATCATAACTAAAATGGAAAGTTTAAAAAACAAAAGATAATAAGTGTTTTGTTTTTGTTTTTAAGAGGCTGGCTGCTTCCTTTTTCCACACATCAACAGGGTGAAGAGTGAGATTTTTTTTCTCAATGAGAACTTCAGTTGGTCTTTCTGTGGTCTCCCATTCTCTTTAAAACTTAAAGAATCTTCTTATTTTGTTTGTGTGTTAATAAGGCATCTTGAAAATGGCAGCAGAGTAAAGGATAAGCCAACCGCCAACACTTGAAAATTACTGAAAACCATATATATCAGAAGTGATGAAAAATAGCTGAATATAAGTTAAACTCTCGATACTTGTTTGTCAATTATTTATAAAATTGAAGCTTGTGTAGGTGTTGGAGAGGATGGGCCAACATTTCAGAGTACTTGCTGCTATCCCAGAAGATCTGGGTCATTTCCCAGCATACTTACATCTAAATAAATAAATCTTAAAAATTCAACCTTGTCTATTAAGTAAATACTATTATATTAGAAATATGGCTAAAGATTATGTGACTTTACTATAAAACATGTTTATTAGCAACTTGAATGCTCATCCACAAAGATTATGAAGACTAAAGCAGGGTGAACAAAGGACTTCAAGGAATATAAAGTCACAAGGCTTTATACTTACAGTGAATCTCCAGAAGGTTTAAAGGTGGGCTCATAGGAGGGCTGTGTGGGAAAGGAGATAGGAGGAGTTGGAGGAAGGAAAGAGGAAAAAAATGATACAAGTTTATTTTAACAAAAAAATTAAAAGACTCAAGTAAACAGAGAGAGAGAGAGAGAGAGAGAGAGAGAGAGAGAGAGAGAGAGAGAGAGAGAGAGAGAGAGAGAATATACAAGGGATGGTATAAAACACTTACTTTAAATTCATTAGACTTGTGCTTAAATCCTGAACCCTCTTTTACTATGTCCTGAATTAGGTTACCTGATGTTCCTGAAGTTCCAGAAAGCTCAGCTTTCACTTCTGTAAATTCTCCTTATAGGAAGGAGATCAACAGGACTTACAGGGCAGCATTTTCCTTCAGGTAGCCTTCCCAAAGAGAGCACCAAGTGGAGTAGGAGCTTGAAAGGAAAACAAGCCCTGTGTCTTAGTTAGGGTTTTTATTGCTGTGAAGAGACACTATGATCACAGCAACTCTTATGAGGAAAGATATTTAATTGGGATGGTTCGCTTGCAGTTTCAGAATTCATTCCATTATTATCATGGCAGGGAGCATGGCAGCTTGTAGGCAGATGTGGTACTGGAGGGGAGAGTACTACATCTTGTAAGCAACAAGAAGTCAACTCAAACACTCAGTAGTATCCTGAGCATAGGAAACCTCAAGGCCCCACAGTGACACATTTCCTTCATAAGCTCGTAAACACTCCAACAAAGCCACATCACCCAATAGTGTCATCCCTATGAGATTATGGGGGCCAATTACATCCAAACTACCACACCCTATATTCATCTAAAAATTAGGTAAATTTCAGCTTCTTTCATGTCCTATTTAAAAGGATCACTAGTTACAAACAAAATAGTGCCACCATATTTCCAAGAAAACAATTTCTAAAATTTGTGTTAAACTATCTACTGTAAGTTATAGCAGGGTTTGGTTTTATTATTATAAGGGTAATAATGGATTATAAATCATTTAAAAGATAATTGGCCTAACCCAAGGTCAGCTCTGAAATGAATTTTCAAAACTAAAATAATATTGATTGAAAATTAAGCTAAAATAAATAAAATTTGTTGTTCAGATTAGACAAGTGTATTGAGTTTTCTTCATAATCTTGACTACTGCATGCAGAGTAAAGCTGTGTGTCAGAATCAAGCAAATCCATGTAAGTGATGTGATGGAACCTTCTGTTCTATCTTATTTGTGTTTATCTGAAATTAGGTCACAATCAAATGAGCTGAGGATGAAAGAGTAAGTGATCAGTCCTACACGGGACAATTCTGAGGTTCTGGATACTGGTAGAGTTCCTGTGTTTCACTGTCTAGGACCACACTCATGTGCATATGGGCAACACTACCTTGATACGGTGAATTATCAAAAGAAAACAAAACAAAAAACAAAAAAAAAAAAACAAGAGAATCATAATGTCGTAAGAGGTGTATTGCATTTTATTTGGGAGGACTTGAAGAGTTGAATGAGGGCAGATAGGATCATGTTCAATTGCATACATGTATCAATTTTTTAAATGTATAGAAAAACTGAAAGTATATTAAAATTAGACTAAATACTCTGATAAGTAGAAGGAAAATGGATCACTCTTAAAAAAACAAAACAACAACAAAAACCAATCTTCAGTGAAATATGTTATTTACCACAGGGGGGAAAAACCTAACAGACTATAAGATTTGGGTCCATGAAAAATGAATTGATACTTATTTACTTTGGTGGGGAATTGACAAGGTCTAAGGTAGATAAGGCTGGGCTTAAACTTACCATTTAGGTTAGGGTGATCTTAAACTCCTCTACAGTCAAAACCTGGAATTAAAACATTTCAACATTACACCTAGACAAATCCACAGTTTTGTAACACGATATTCTGCAGACTACATGTTGTAAGGGACATATGAGTATTTATTTTATGATTATTTTAAAGATCTGTAATACATGGTGATGTGAAAACTGAATCACTCAAAAGACAAATGTCTTTTCAAATATGTATTTTAAAAGTTACATCAATTAAAATAAAATTGGTTTATTCCAGTAGTAGTTTTAGAAAACACATCAGGAAGTATCTCAAAACCACAAGTCTGTTTATCTTTGTATTAGTAAACTCAGTCTTCATTGTATATTCTGAAAATGAAATGAGATGATGATCCATTGTCAAGTTGGAACAGAGAAATATCTAAAACGCTCGAAACAGGGTTGATTTGTAGATAAGGAAAGTACAACTCACTATCACATCATACTATTAATGAAACACTAGTAACATGAAGATCTCAATTGTGAAGCATTATTTTAGTGAGTTACATCAGAAATTCAAGGAAAATTTCATGACCATTTAGTGATAGTTTTACTACATTTTACAGTGTAGAAGTGAATTATGCAATTATATAAATCTTATAATATATAAGATGCTAATATCATAAAATATTTTAATCATCAAAATTAAAATCCACAAAATTAATTTTCTTTGAAGTTCTGAAAAGGTTGTGAGGTTTGTAGGTCATTCACCATAGTAGTGAACTTCTGTGCTTACAGTGTAACATTTCACATTAATGTTCTGAGCAATTATAATCTTATCTTAAATGGCCATAATGCTGAGACAACCCTCTTCCATCACCATATAATCTTGAATTTCAAATCCATATTTTTTATGTAAGGACCAACTGACTCTGCCAATGTTTCTCCTGAAACGTCCCATGCCCTTTTTTACCCCTAAAAGTCGTGTAGTTGAATATCCAAAGGTTGTTCTTGATCTTTTCCTTATTACAAAAGGAGCTGTGGCCTCTGTGCCATCTCCTTGAGGAGTGACATTGAAAAGAGTTCCTCCATGTACTCTGCTGTGCACATTACCCCACTATTCCCTTCACATCCTTGATAGCATTAAAGCTAATTATCATGCTAATCTGTGTATATAAACACCACGCACTCAACAATTGAACCACTGGAGCACATCCAATCAATACATAGATAAGAAAATTACTTTGTTAATGTAAAGTGTGAATAACATGCAAAACTATCAGAGAGATTAGCAGAAATATTATTCTAGGTAGTTGATTTACATATATTTCAAACGAACTACTGTTATCATCAATGATATTATAATCTTACTTAAAATATCTAGGTGGTAAGTTTCATAAGACAGTCATATTCTTATTTCAGACAGTTAAGTACCAATAAAATATTGTTTGCTTATATCTGTTGCTATGGAAACTCCTCTCAGCAGCTCTCCAGGAAATACTTTCTCTTTGGGTAACTACTGCTTTTCCTCTTCATGATTGCTCTGCACTCCTCTAAATGTCTAAATACTCCTTGTCTTTCTATTTCTGAAATGTAGGGGAAAGGACTTTTCCCTGAATCCTATCACCTCCTTCAAAACAGATTCAGAAACTTACCTTTTGATGTCTTGGTGATTTGAACACTTTTTTTCAGGGTTTTTTTCTTTGGATTTTTTTTTTTTTGAGACAAGGTTTCTCTCTGTAGCTTTGGATTTCAACAGTTTTAAGGGATCAGGCCAGGACTAAAGCACTACAGCTGTTCTGAACTTCATCTAAGATTTTCCTGAGGCAGAAACCTAGTGTTGGAGGAAATTAAGTGTTCTTAATTCACAGCATTTATTTTGTGCCCTTCTGTGACTACAATGTGTTTCCTGAACCATGTGTTACTATGTAGCAATGTAAAAAGACCATTTTATGTTTTTTGCAATATTGTATAGAGTTTAGTACAGAATTTCAATGTACCATGACCAGTGGTGCTTATTCAATCTCAAAGCATACCACATTTATGTCCAAACATAGGAAAGGTCATTTTTACTCACCATAGCTGAATATGCACTAGGAAAAACAAGTAAAGTATTATTGCAAAGATAATATAAAATGCAAAGTATTAATTCTTTGTACATTACTTGATTTCTGTATAAAGATGGAAAGGTGAAAAATGCTTCATTACATTAAGCATGAAGAAACTAAGAGTGAAAGAGAAGGAAGAAAAATGCTAAGCAAAAAAGCAGGCAAGGGACATTATTAAGAGGAGGGAGAGAGCAGAGGAGGACAGGAAGGAGAAAGGGGAAGGAGGGAAAGAAGGAAGCAGAAGAAAGAAAAGTCTCCACTCTCTAACAACTGCTATTTATTGGGCACTTGGGCAGTTACTACTTTTAAAGGCTATTTTTTGGGTTTCTTGTATAACACGTTTACTATATTCTGTATGCCTGGTTTGGGGTCATAAAATCAGCATTGTGAGTAAGGTAGATAGATGTATATAATACCCTGAAGAACCCAGTTATGAAGCAAAAACCTCAATGTTTTCATTAACCACACAAGAGCCTGAGCAAAAATAAAACAAACAAAGTTACCACAGGGATAACTGGCTTGTGGTGGCCAAGCGTTCATAGCAACATTGCTTTTTGATCCTTCGATGTTGGCTCTTCGTATCATTGTGAAACAGAATTCACCAAACAAACAAATTTTAACATGCCCTTTCACAATCAAAAACCCATCTCTGAAAGTGTAAAAATGAGTCTTTATGAGTCTTACCATGTGATATTTTGATGAAAAATTAGGAGACAGGCAGCTTTTCTTCCCTATTGTGGTAGTCCATTCAGTGGTGACCAAAAGACAATGTTTGTAGCCAACGCTTCTTTCCAGTCTAAGAGCTATACCAGTGAAGATGGAGAATGCTAGCCATGTTTATTTCGTGTAGTCTTAGTTACATTTTAAGGATAAAGGCAAAAATAGAGCCAAAAATCCCTCCTTAATTGCAACTGGAATTTAATGTGGGTTCCCTGAGAGGTGCTCTGCCTCTGGGACTTGCTCTTTGCTCCCCTGGGGTTTGAACAATTTTGTGTCCCATAAGTGGTTGAGGTACGATATTGTATACTTTTTTTTTTACTAGGTAGGGTTTTTGTATTTATATTTACATCAAAATTCATTCTGAAAAAATTCTTTGGGAGATTTTATTGATGTTTTCGTGTAGCATCATGTCAAGGAACAGAAGAGTTGTATAATGGATAGGATACTGTGTTGATGGGTAGAATTTAAGTTAAATTCCTATATGTTCACCCAATGTAACAGATGAGTTTTGACATAAGGGTCTATCACTTAATCTATAAGAATAATATGAGGGCTGGAGAGATGACTCAGAGGGTAAGAGCACTGGCTGTTCTTCCAGAGGTTTGGAGTTCAATTCCCAACAACCACATGGTGGCTCACAACCATCTATAATGTGTTCTGGTGCCCTCTTCTGGCCTGCAGTACAGGCATACATGTAGGCAAAACACTGTATACATAATAAATAAATAAAACTTACAAAAAAAAAAGAGGGAATAATATGAACTGTTCTGTGGAGAAACTGGTGTGGCCAGTATGAATAGCAACGTCTATTTCCTCTATGAATCTTTTGTTTCATTTTTTTTTTTTATGATTTCACAGATATGTATGATGTATCATAATAGCCACACATCACTATTTCTTATCCCTTTCCCATCCTGGTGACTACCTTTCCAAATATTCCTTCTATATTCCTGTCTTTTACTTTTGACCCAATGATATTAGGGTTGCTTTTATGAAAATCAGTAGAGGATTATTATGTTCAATTTCCCTATGTCTGTATAACTGAAAAAAAAAAGATACACCTATCTCAGGAGCTTTGACAGTCAATAGCTCCTTGGTGAGGAGTGGGCACTCATGAGTCCCTCCTCTATCCATGATGCAATGTTGAAGGGTCCAATCTTGTTTTGGTCTTGTGCAGGTATCTACAGGTTCTATATTTTAAAAATTGCAGTGGCTATGTCTTGTACAGAAGACAGAATTTCATAACACTATTTCTGAACACTCTATTTCCACATTGCCTCTGGCCTTTTCTTCCAAGATGTTTCGCAGTTCTAGAATCAGGTACTAGTTTTAGATAAGTTTTGGATAGCCATACACTCTCTGTTCTTGGCAGAGTTATGTGTGTCTGTTTATCACAACACAATGCAAAAGGGAGCTTCTCTGACCAGTTATAAGATACTCTAGTGCATAGATATGGAGGCCTGTGATTGTGTTCTTTTAGATAAACAACAGCTGTTTATTCTTCTCTACAGTCTGTGACATCCTTCTTCAGAGACTTTAACTGGAATAAGGTACTAAGTATGTGTTCCTCTCCCATGGAGCAGGTCTCAAATAGTATTTGGATGTGTTTATTAGCCTTCAAACATTCATGTCATCAGTGCACCAGTGGGTATGTATATCTCACCTGATAGGCCAGCATTCAAGAATGCAGGCCCCCCAGCTCCTAAGGAATTTGATTGTTTTGTTGTTGTTGTTTTATTTTGCTTTGTGCAAATACATAGTTTAATACTTTCTGATAATACTTTATTTCCTAGCAAGCAGAAAATGATATCTTGAGCAATTCTTAAGTGTGAGCTCTGTGAAATTAAATCAAGATACATATTTTCCATTAAGGGAGCACTGAGGGCACAACAAAATCATAGAACTCAACCTAGTAGAGCAAATTACTAATCCTGCTGATGCACGTCCCTATTATCTTGATTTGTATTGAAAGCATGGAGCTTAAAGGGATTTGGTAGCTCAACTATTCCAACTCTGTTGACCATCACAGAGGCACCACCCACCTTGGGAATCATCTCTACCCCAAGCTTGAAATTTGGTCTGCCTGTATCATATGGCCTGGAATCCCTGTACTCTGTTATCTCTATTGCCAATAAGGCTTCACCTTCACAGCTGTAACTAATTTTCACCTTCACAGCTGTAAGTATAATTTTCTTTCAGTAGCTGGTTTTCTAAGCTTCTAAAATAAAGACCTGCCAAAAAAATAATTTTAGCTTCAGCATACTTTCCAGCACACTGTAACAAATTCTTCCCAACTGCTGCCATGTTTACCATGTTTATCAAAGCAACAACCTTGCCCCTTGTACCACTTAACCATATTGCTTGTTTTTCTTCTTCCTGATACCAACTTCATGTTAACAGACCCTTAAAGTGGAAATGCTTTATTGTGGCCCACAATTTGGGAATATAATCCATCCCAATGGAGTGCCATAACTACCACTGTAGTTAGAATTGAGTCACGAAATGCTGGAGTGAGTTATACAGTTTGAGGCTCCTGCAAGAACAAAGATTGCTCTTAGATACTGAACCATCTCTCTAACCCAAGAAGTTCATGTTTACAATAGTAAAAATTATTGGAATCTTGTAAAGTTCAAAACAGACAATAAAAATTATATGGAATCATAATTATGGATTTAAAAGCTTCTGAGAGATGAAGATGGCCCCCATCCCTTGTAAAATGTATCTAGTATTCCATAATCTTCCATTTATATAAAATTCTATTTTAATACATTAAATTTGAAATTCTAATAATGTCTTGGTTTAGCTAATAGTCCTAGGATAAAAATTAATGGCCAAGCCGGGCAGTGGTGGCTCACGCCTTTAATCCCAGCACTCGGGAGGCAGAGACAGGCGGATCTCTGTGAGTTCAAGGCCGACCTGGACTACCAAGTGAGATCCAGGAAAAGGCACAAAGCTACACAGAGAAACCCTGTCTCGAAAAACCAAAAAAATAAAAAAATAAAATAAAAATAAAAAATAAATGGCCACATTGAAATTGGTAAAGTAGTCATTTATATGACTTCTACTTCCACATTATTTTCCTTGACAGAGGGAAGTTGGGCTGGGAACTCAAGCAACCTGAAGGTGGAAATTCAAGGAACCTGGAGGCAGGAAGTGAAACAAAGACCATGGAGAAACATTGCTTACAGACTTGAACACCTGGGTTGTTTGATTTGCTTTCTTATACACCCAAGGACCGCCTACACAGGAGTGGTACTACCTTGGTGGTAGACCCTTATATAACAATAACAATTACCAATCAAGGAAATACTCACAGGCTTGCCTTTAGGACAATATGATAGAGATGTTTTCTAAATTAATGTTCTATCTGCTCAGGTGACTCTATCTTGTGTCCAGTTGGGAAAAAAATATCTAACCAAATAAGTTCTAAAGATGAACAACTGAATATCATTGTAAATATCTTTCACTTCTTTGATAAAATTTCTTCCAAGATATATTTTGTGGATATTTGAATCATATTCATTCCCTGATTTCTTTCTTCATAGGTTTGTAGTTTACATTCAGGAAAGTTACTCACTTTTGTGTGTCTAATTTGAATCCTGCTACTTTGATAAAAGTTTTTGTCAGGTACCCAATTTTCTGGTTGATTGTGTGTGTGTGTGTGTGTGTGTGTGTGTGTGTGTGTGTGAAATAATATCATGTAAAAATAAGAATACATGAGTTCTTTCCTATTTCTTTTACAGATCCAGTCAGATGTGTTCTTTGTACATTGTTCAGAAACTGTTTTGACACATATTGTGCTGGTACATTTTTCTGAATATATCTCTTGATCCCAAAAAGACTGAACTTTTGACATATCTGAGAGAAAATAATGATATTCTTTGAGATCATTTGACTCTGGACTTGACTTTCTATTTTAGGGTGTACTCAACATATTTAAGTTTAACTTGCCTCTAAGACAACAATGTAAACTACTATACATATTTCCCATCTAATAAGTTTTTCAAACTAAGATAAATTTTCATAGATTTACTATTATATTTATGTACAGTCCCATGCTCCTAAGACAGTATAATGTATGTGTGTTGTGATAATCATTTCCTGAAAGTAGCCCAAAGTTGAAAACAGACTAAAACAAGTAAACAAAATCCCATAAATACTTGAAAAGCATGTTCAGGTAGGCTGATAACATATGTTTGCAGTTTGGGTTAACCCTTCTGGATCAACTGGAGTCAGTAAGTCAGTTCTTCCCTTTGAAAAATCCTTACAAAGTATCTCTTATCACTTTTCCATAACATGTCCTCTGTGCTTTTCAATTACCACAGAGCAAGCCCCTTTCTTGGTCACAGGAACAGACACAGCAGTGACTGGTACAGACATGGAACCAAAACACGCACAACACATCAGATGGCCAAGCAGCCCAGATACACACAACAGATAACAGATACAACAGTTACCACAAACTACAGACAGGCACAAAAACAAGGAAAGACATAAGGAATTCAAATTCAGGTTCACTCTGTCTCAAACTAATACAAGAGAGAGTTTATGTCTCTGTTCCTTAATGTGACATCTACACATTTTAAATCTTCCTCTGTGGTTTCTTTAATCATTAAGTGATGCACCAAATCTTAGTTCTGCATTTTTTCCCAATAGGAAGTCTCATGTGTCTTTTGTAGTATCATGTATATTATCTCCGGCAGTTAAAATCACTGAGAAACAAATGCTTTTAATATTTACCATTTTTTTAACCATAAAATCCAGTTATTGTTAGTGTTGCTGATTCTGAGCAGAAAGAAGGTGTTTAACAGTAAGTTAATTTTCTGCAAAGTCCTTTTGACAATATGAATGTAAGAAAACATAACCATGAAGCGACATAAAATGTCTATATTTTAATGATATTGATTGATAAGTTTAAAAATGTAATTATCCTTTGTGCACACAAAATTAAGAATCTTAAAATCACATAATAAATTGACATTTTGGAAACTAATTTTAAATCTGCTTGCTTTGGCTTCTATTCACTCTGTAAAGAGTGGGGACATGTGCCCACTATGTCACTGCCTTTGCAGTGGTGTGGCTAGGACAGTAATGCCCCACAAGCACTTTTTGTTGTATGGGAATAGGAGGTCTGCAGGGGTGTTTATCTAATCAGGTCCCAGAGTTCATTGGGATAGGATAGTCCCATCATTCAAGAGAAACTACAGCTGGTCTCAAGGATTTTATCAGTGAAGACATTGAAGGAGTAACTCATGTTTCCTTCTAGATAAGAATGGACCCACTTTAAAAGTTAGGGACACCTGGAGGTCAGGTCCTGGGTCTCTCTCCTCTCTCCTCTCTCTCTCTCTCTCTCTCTCTCTCTCTCTCTCTCTGTCTGTCTTTCTCTCTGTCTCTCTATCTCTCTCTCTGTCTCTGCATTTCAAGCTTCTGGGTCTCAATATGTCACTTAGAAACCTGTTTTCTCTTAGAATAACTTTTAATTTTCTTGTCCAAGTATATATTTATTTTGTCAACCAAGTTTTTAAACGAAGCATAGTATTAATAGAAAGCAGTCAAATATTTAAGACATTTTGAATATGCAATTAATAAATGAAAGGATAAAATGAATTGCTTTTATTTTCATATAACAATGCCAAATTATCAATGCAGAGTGAAAATGTGAACCTAGAAACTTATTCACATTCCCACTATTGATGTTTTCTGTATAAAATTGTATCAAATGATGTTATTTCTTTATAAAAATTAATACTTTATTTGCCCAATAAAATACTAAGTTCTTTATTCTTTACATTTAACAGTATATTTTTTGTTTATTTATATTGCTGTGTGTGTGTGTGTGTGTGTGTGTGTGTGTGTGTGTGTGTGTGCGCGTGCGTGTGTGTGTGTCTGTGGTATACATGTACATAAAGGGTGAATGGTTTTTGTATCTGTGAACATTTATGCAGAGCCAGAATAAGGGGCTAACTATGAGTATTTATTGCATTCTGCCTCATTTTCTTAAGGCAAATCTCCACTGAAGCTTGAGCTTCAGTATTTCTCAAATATATACGCTGTGAAGCTAAACCCTGGGATTGATATATCTACCATTTACGAGTACTAGAATAAGGTGTGCTTCCATGGTAGACTCTCACATGAGTTCTGGAAAATAAAAATCTTGTCCTCATGTGGACAGAGCAAGTGTTCTTACCCATTGATTCATCTCCCCACCAGTGTAAAAGCAATATTAAAACCTAACAAAAATCACTTTCAATCTCTTCCACATTTTTCTCATGGCATTTATCATTTCCTTATTCCTGAATGTGTAAACCATAGGATTGAGCAATGGTGTCAGGACGTTAACAAATATAAGTGTGTTCTTCTCAAAGGAGAATGCAGACGTATCCCGTGCATATATTAATATGCATGGAACAAGGAACAAAACCACAACAGTAACGTGGGCTCCACAAGTGGAAAGAGCTTTACGGCGACCTTCAGAGCTGTGGGCTCTCAGAGAGAACAAGATGACAACATAGGAGACAAGCAATAAGGAGAAGATGATGATGCAGATAGCGCCACTGCTGGCAAACACCAAAAGGACAAATATATGAGTGTCAGTGCAGGCAAGCTTTAGCAACGGAAACAAGTCACACATGTAATGATCAATGACATTGGGTCCACATAAAGGCAGCTGCAATATGAAGATAATTTGTACAATAGAATGCAAGAAGCCTCCTGCCCAGCATATTGCCATCAAAATACTACAGAGCCTCCGGGTAAGGATGGAAGAGTAATGCAAGGGCTTGCAAATGGCCACGTAGCGGTCATAGGCCATGGCTGCTAGGACAACCATTTCTGCTCCCGAGAAGAAATGAACTGAAAACAATTGTGTCATGCAACATTCAAAAGAGATGGTCTTCTTCTCACTTAAGAAGTCTATAAGCATCTTGGGTGTGACAGTAGAAGAAACACATGCATCCAGGAAGGACAGGAATGCCAAGAAGAAGTACATGGGGGATCCCAGCAGTGCAGGGCTGTAGAGGATAGTCACCACAATCATCATGTTGCCCCCTACAGTTGCAAGGTAAACCAACAAAAAAATAACAAACAGTATTTTCTCAACTTTTGGGTTCTGAGAAAGGCCCAAGATTATGAACTCAGTGACAAAACTCTGGTTTTGCATGATTCTCAAGAAGATAGCAAAAATAAACTTTCTTCACACAAATCATCAATTGTTAAAAAGTGTTTCTCATATGCTTATATTTTCATCAACAAGAGAGTATATCCTTATGCAAATTGTCTTGATTAATTCTATTACTGTTGAAAATATTAGAAAAATGAAGGATATAGTTATATCACATAAATTGAGGAAAACATAAATTATATATTTATATAACTTTAAAGAAACCACATTTTAAATTTCTGTTATGAACACATTTTACTTGTTTGAGAGAAGTCTAGTGTAACTGTATTATCAGCTCTTGAAGTGAATATTAAAAGATATTTTATAACATTTTTAAACTAGATATGAATAAAAGTCCATGGCTGAGTAGCCCACAATGACTTGTCAGAGAACAGCCTTATACAATAATAGAATAAGAGGCAAAAGTACATTTAGGTGGACACAAAATCCTGGCTACCTTTTAAATTTGTTTAAAACTAAGAAATATATTGTTATCTCAAATAATAAATTATTCTTAACAAAAGAAATTCTGTGCCAGGCGGTGGTGGTACATGCCTTTAATGCCAGCACTCGGGAGGCAGAGGCAGGCGGATCTTTGAGTTCGAGGCCAGTCTGGTCTACAGAGGGAGATCCAGGAAAGGAGCAAAGCTACACAGAGAATCCCTGTCATGAAAAAACCAAAAAAAAATCTGTAAGAAGTATCTAGCATATTAAGAATTGATTTTTCACTTTAAAGTGTGACCAAAACACTATAAAAAAAAACCTTCTTTTTTTTTTTTTTTTTTTTTTTTCTTTAGAAATTCACTTTATGGGCTTGGAAAAACTCAAAATGCTACATGGAATGAAATAATAAAGACCAAGACTGAAACCAGTGAAATATAAAACAATTGAGGTGTGACTTATTCTTTAATTTTTTGAAATGAAATTCATTTATTTGTGTGTGAATGTGTGTGTAGGAGGATGTCAGAAAACAACTGAGAAAAATCCATTCTCTCCTTCCTCCATGTGGGAGGGATTGAACTCTGGTTGGCTTGAATACTGGCAAGTGTCTTTATCCACTGATCCTTCTTCCTGGACCCATTGATACTTGTTAATTTTCTCATTTCTTGGTTTGGTTACTTTTTATCCAATATTGTCATTAAAATTATCATGGCCTTTCAGAGCCTCAACTAGGCATCTGTTGTCACCAAATCAAATCTAGATTGATATGAAAGATCTTTCTTCCTAATATTTCTAGTCTGCTTATCAAGTAATTTTTTTAAAATTATTTTCTCATCTGATAAACTGGATTGGGCTGTTTATCCATTGCCAGAAAGCCTTTATTTGAAATACAAAAAAATTTGGAAAAAAAAAAAAAACCTTCTTATCATCAAATCTAAGGGAAGTACTAAAAGAAATTTATCCTGTTCTGATCTCAACCTCCTGGACAACAGTATATGACATTATTACTATTTTATTTGTCTGTCATTTTAATCTAAACATAAGACCAAACAAACAAGAAATGGTTAACTTATATGTTCTAATACCCAGGAGATCTTCATGGAGTTAACTTGATGACAGAGAGATTGTTTATCTTAGTTATAGCAGCACAGACAGTTGTTCTCTCTATTCTCCTTCTCTGAATTACCACAAAAGCATCTTCTTATTTTGTTCCTATGTGAGTGATGAAGGTTCAGAAAGTGATGGTCCAAAACCACATATCTAAAAATTGGTAATACCACATAACTGAAAAAGAGAAATTATGCATTGAATTAATTTTAGTCTTGAGACACAATTATATGTTGCTTACTCATGCAGTGTTAAGTTTTTTAGGCAAGTATTATTTGATAAGACAAATGGTTGGAAATATGTATGAGCTTATTATAAAGCATATTTATAAACAGCCTAACTGCTCATCTCCAAGTCATGGTAAAAGAAGTCAAATTGAACGTGTGAAAATGTTTCTCATGGTCACATGACCTAAAAGTTATAGGTATAATTTACTCTCTTGAAAACATATCTGCTTCATACATAGTAAGTTCCTCCATAGAAATTAAGGAGTATTTCAGATTTTAAATTCATTTGCTCTCCTACTCACACAAAGGCCATTTATTTCCTCCCCTGTCTATACCATTGAATTTCACTGTAAATAATATTTTAGTCTATGAGCATTGCCTGGGTTATACATGCATATATAAAAAGATACATGTGGACATCATACATTTTTGGCTAAAATTTTGTGAGTAAAAATAATGCAGTTCGGACTTCCCTTCTGGACCATAGAGCGCACATCCTGCCCCAGACTTCCCTTCTGGACAAGAGTGCCCATCCTGCCCTGGACTTCCTGTCTAGACAAAAGTTTCCATCGTGCCCCAGACTTCTGTCAAGATAAGAGCTTCCATCCTGCCCTGGAGTTCCCATTTGGACAAGAGAGCTCCCATCTGGACAAGAGAGAGAGACTTCTTGAATCTGTCAGCTCTGTCTGAACCAAGTGCGCTGATAAGACCAAGAACGAACCACAAGGAGATGGGCAGAAGTCAAGGCAGAAGTACATACAACAAAATGAAGAGTAATACAGCATCACCAGAACCGAGCCTGCCTTTAACATCTAGACCTGAATATCAAAAATTGGAAGAAGCAGAAGAAAACAGCCTTATGAATAACATCATGAAGAAGGAAGAGGCTTGTGTAGAGGAAAAGACAAAAAAGGGAAGAATGCTATAAACAACTAGAGGTAAGGGCAAACAAATTAGAAGAAAACAATAAAGTACTGAAAGAAAATCATTAAAAAGCAATGAAACAAATAAAGGAAACATTCCAAGACCTGAAAAGGGAAATATAAAAAATGAAGAAGACACAAACAGAGGGAATGCTGGAAACCGAAAATCTGAGTAAAAGATCGGAAACTTCAGATGCAAGTATAACCAACAGAATGCAAGAGAAGGAAGAGAGGATCTCTGTCATTGAAGATATAGTAGAAGAAATAGATTCATCAGTCAAAGAAAACACTAAAACCAACAAAGTCATGAACCAAAATGTCCAAGAAATTTGGGACACCATGAAAAGACCAAACCTATGAATAATAGGGATAAAAGAAGGTGAAGAATACCAACTCAAAGGCACAGAAAATATATTCAACAAAATTATAGAAGCAAACTTTCCCAACTTAAAGAAGGAAATGCCTATGAAGATACAAGAAGCCTATAGAACACCAAACAGACAAGACCCCCCAAAAAAGTCCCCTC